ACTTGAGGGTCCAACCTGAGAACACATGTTAGTAAGACCAGCTTTACCTGCATTCGGGTAAAATGGGTGGTGTGGTACTTCCTAGCCTGGAAAGATGTTTTTTATTCTGGCCCTGGCTGTGCGCAGGAAATCCACTAGTCCCAATTTAGCTGACATGTAAATAGCTGTGTAAGTTCTAAGCCAATTACTTTTTTGAAAATACAAGGGCTGTGTACAATTTCAGGACTTGCTGGGTTCCTGGAAGCCCAAGTGGGTCAGTAGAAACCATGACCCACAAAACAGTAGTTCACACATACTGGATGCTTCCCCGTGTGCCACATGTGATACTGGACATTCTACATGCTTTGTGCCATTCAGTTCTCCCAGCAACACTAGAGCCAGACATTACTACCTTATGTCACAATGGAGTAAGAGGATGCCTAGAAAGGTGAAGTGACATATCCAAAGGTACCAGCTGACAAAGGACAGAAACCAGAATCACAGGCCAGAGCTAACCATACAACCTGTGCTCTCAAAATACTGCACTGCATGGATCTTGCCTGCGCTATTTCCCTAGTTAAGATGTGCATACACGAGAGATCAGAGATTACAGTCTGCCTACATTTTCTACCCCCGGATCTTTTACAGAATAAAGTTTCTATATAATTGAACCATTCTTTGTGAAGCATGGTTTCTAGTGTCTTTGCCATAGTATTCAATGTCCCTGGAGTGTGCTCAAAGCTGTCGCTGTCCTGAAAACTGAAGAAGTGGGTGTGGTTATCCAAAGAAGAATTTTAAAAATTGTTCTGAATCCACGAATGGAGCTACCACATCCGAGAGGCATTATCTTCCCAGGCCCCTATTGTGTATTTCTACTCCACTGACTATCAGCTAAAACAACAGATTTATTTACATATGTTTCTTACTATGTTCATTCTTCCCTCCACTCTTTATTTTGTTCCTTTCTGTTTGTTTTATACAGGTGCAAACTAAAGCTTAGAGAGAAACACAGACTTGAATAAGATCACTCAGATCTTCAGTCGTGGAACCAGTATTCAAACACAGCTGTGTAAGCTGCTACCATGAAATACTCATCCAGATCCAAACCTCCCAAGAGCCTGTGCGGTCTGACAACTCAAAAACAAAGTTCTCATTAAGCTGAAAATGAAATTGCCTAAACTTCTCGTTCCACACCATATGGCTGAATCCCAGCGGACAGGAAGCTCATTTCTGCAACACACTGGGTTCATTTCACTGAGTAGGTTGATGCGAGATTTGTGGGGTGGTCATTCCCAAATCTTTCCAGCCATGGGTAGCAGCCGTGGTATTGATTTTGATGCTTCCTTTCTACATTTTTACATAAAAAAGCAAATGCTCCCAATGATGGAGAGAAACAGATTTTATTCTACATCATTCTCTAAGTGAAATATCATAAACATAACCACAAAAAACAAAAATATCCACCTCCCTTGAAGTCAATGAAAACTATGATCATCTTCCAGCCCATTCTAAGTACCAGCGGGCTGGGCTGGGGGACGTGCTTACATGATACCATCACAGACTTTTGTACCCTAAGATTAAACCAAAGTGTGTGGACATGTAAAATTATCCTGTATCTTTGCAAAGTCAAATTTTAAAGCAGTGAGTTGAAACACCGAAGAACTAAAGGTAAATGCCAGACCCACTTGTACAAAATGATCTTGGCACAAGATGCCATCACTTTTTCCCCTAGGCAATTATTTTAGAGCTGGTACGGCAAAGTACTCTTGGAAAACAGGATAGCCTGAAGCTTTTGTGTTTTGTTGTTCCTTCAGCCTAAAACTAACATAGAAAGTGCCATTTCTACAAATAGAAAAGCATAAATTGTGAGATTTGGAAAAGGTCTTAAAGCTAACACATTTATGCATGAAGTGCATGAGGCTGATGTCCATAGGCAGGGATTTGAACATCGTTCCTACCACGTGCTGGCACTTGATCTTTTGAAAGTTTCTTCACCTTTTCCAGTCTTAGTTTCTTCATCTTAAAATGGGACTAATCAGAGGACGCAGCAAGGTACAGTGCTTTAAAGTGAAACATCTGTGTCCAAAATACCTGGCTGGGAATCCTGGATCTCAGTCTGTACTTGGCTCACCGCTACCTGAGATTCAGTTCTGTCCTCTGTCAAAAAGGGGTGATAAAAATGGTGCCTACCATTTAAAAAAACACCAAAAAATGTGTTCATGAGGTGTAAATACAATATACATAAAGCATGGAACCTGGATCATAGCAAGTGGTCAATACTATTTCTTTTTTTTAAAAGATTATTCATTTAAGGGTTTAAATAAAAGTTCTAAGTGGTCCCCACAGGAAGAAAAAATGAAACTATACAGCTAAGAATCCAATGTCTGACCTCTCCCCTTCCAAATCCTCACCCACACCCAGAGCAATCTTGGTCTTTGACCTATTTTATTTATTGGGGCTATGTATGAAATTTTATTTCTAAGAGTTCTGTCACTGGAAAACATTGTTTGAAAACTTCTGTTCTAGATAACCATTTTACAGACAGGAAAAAGCAAGGCCCCGAAAGACAAAGGGAGTTGTTCCAGATTGTGCTGCAGGTAAATCTGTGACCAGGGATGTGACTGCCCCCTGCCTCTCTGCCTCTGCACCCTGCATCTCACCACCCCTCAGTCCCCTAAGGAAGGGTCACTTCCATCTTCTGACTCTGCTGAGCTGACAATGGTTAGAATGATGCTGAAGTTTTGAGACTGGGAGAGGTGAGCACAATGGGGACAGTAAAAGTGGGAAGAGTTGAGGGTTGTGGTGACATTGTGTGTGTGTGTGTGTGTGTGTGTGTGTGAAGGAGGGAGGGAAAGAGAGAGAGAGAGAGAGAGAGACTACGCTAGGCACTCGAGACCCACTGAGTTTGAGAGTCTGGTGGAATATCCAGACGAAGAGGAAGATCTAGAACTCAGGGAAGATACCAGGGCTGGGGATGGAGATATAAGTCATCCAGCAAGGAAATTAGACATGAGCATGTATTATATGAGAAATGAGAGAGAGAAATAGACAGACTAGACAGCTGATTGACTGAGGGCAGAGTAATGAAGAAGAAGATGCAGAATGCAAACAATATTGCAGAGAAAAATAATAATTTCAAGTAAAAATAACATAATAATTAAGATAATAACAGCACTTACTGAACACTTCATTTTAGCTAATTTACTTCCTTACATAAATTAGTTCATTCAATCTTTCTAAAAATCTTGGAAGAGAGATACTTCAATTCACCAATTCTATAGATAAGCAGGCACAGAGAAGTTGGATAACTTGCTTAAGGTCACACAGCTAATAAAGGATAGAAATAGGTTTAAAAATCAAAGTGGGGATAATTTCAGAGCCTGAGTTTTAACCACTATTTTACAGTAAATCATAGGGAGCAAAAGGAGGAAAAGTGTTAATAAAAGTAGTAGTACAAATACTAACAGCAGCAGCAGCTGCCACCGACTGACTACTATTTTTGGCTAGGCACTGTGATAAGTGCATAAAACCTGGTCTCAACCCTAGGGACAAGTTGAGATGGTAATGGTCTTTATCCCTATTAAGCAGAAAAAGAAACTGGCTCAGTGATGTCAGTAACTTACTCATAGTCACACAACTAGTAGGTGACAGCAGGGTTAAAAGCTAGGTCAGCTCCAGTACCAAGGATTCTTAAACCACCATGCTAGACCATTTCAGTGCATGGCTGGAGAAGATTCATTTTTTGTGTGCTCAAATTCAGTGATTCCAACAGTGGGACCACAGAAATTACTGCAAATATTTTTAATAACAAATTCTCAGGCTCTTTCATCTGAGCTTCTAATTTAGTAAGTCATGATTGGATCTGTGAACCTACACCTTTCAAAAGGTCCCTAGATGATTCTTAATTTGTAATCAGGTTAGGAAGTGCCGTATCATGTATACAAGTCTTGACTGCTTCAAGCAAGATTGCCAGTCTGCGAGGACAGGATGTGCTGTATTATTCTTCTTTGCATGAGCACACATCCCCA